TGATGCATAAAAGAGAATTGATAATATTTCCAGCGAAAGACAGACGGAGTTATTAGCCAAAATTTTATGCAAAAGTAGAAAAATATCATTAATGATTCAGAGCTAGAAGTCAAATAGTGTTCTTAAGTATGAACAAAGGTCATATCCCATTTGAAATAGCCAGTTTTTCATATAAGAGGCAAATAAAAAGTTGGTAAGCTGTTTAAGAAAGAATCCTGCTTATTCTGTTGTTACATAGACTCTACAGAGGAAGGAGGGCTGGCAAATTACCATTCCTAATATCACTGGCCTCCAGAAACGATGCACTGAGAAGAAAGTGGTATTCCTGCCCAAAACTTTATAATTATGAGAAAACATCAGAAAAACTCAAATCGAGAGATATTCTGTAAAATTACTGTCCTATGTTATTTATAAGTGTCACTGTCATGAGACACAAAAGGCTGAGAGACTGTTCTAAAGAAATAAACTAAAGGTGCATAGTTAATGCACGATTAGTGATTTCCTTTTGCTATAATGGAAAATTTGGGGACAGTTAACACCTGAATAAAGTTTATAAACAGGGCTGGCTTCATAGCCTTGAAACCTGTGCAGTCATATGAGGCCCACACTCAAAAGGACCAAAACATGGGGTTAAATGTCCTTCAGTAATCATCTTGAATTATTAATATCTTTATTTCTGCATTTGTTTGGTGAGTGCTGATGGGATGACCAAAGTATGTGTAGCCCCTGTGCTTAAAAAAATAGTTGTCATTTTTTTTTTTGGCAAATGCTGTAACAGGTAAAATTTTAATATTTTGGGGAATTTGATTAAAAGATATACAGAGTTCTTAATTCTTGCAATATGTCAAATAAAAAAAATCCTATCTAGCTCACCTCTGAATATTATTCATTTTATAACCCATGTTTATAGAGTTGCAAATATAAATTTATGAAAAACACAAGTTATTTAAAAATGTCTAACACCAATTCTTTTAAAGTAGTAACTGGAAACAACATAAGGAGTTTTAAATTTTTTCCTTCTCATACATTGGCCAAAATGCTGATTTAGGCAGTTTTTTGTTTTGTTCTGCTTTTCATGAAAGAGATTAAACATACATGCACACACAAAAATGGATTCCTTATTATAAAAAAACTAGTATGTCTGTTTTCATAGACAAAATGAAACTCTACTATGCTATCTCTATCCTAAAGTTCCCATTCAGGGGTCCCTTAATTAAGCTCCAAACTAGGTTTTAATTCTACAAAAAGTACATTTAAATTCTAAAGATAACACCTCCTTATAGAGGCAATCATTGTCAATATTTACATTTTAATAAATATCAAACAAAAGAGTACAATTATTATTATTGTGTTGTTGTTTTCACTGTTAATCCTTACCTGAAGATACTGTTTCCATTGATTTTTAGAGAGGGTGGAAGGGAAGGTTGGAGGGAGGGTGGGAAGGAGGGAGAGAAAGAGAGAGAGAGAAAGAAACATGGACTTGAGAGAGAGAAGACTCATATTGGTTGCCTCCAGAAAGCACCCAGACCAGGGCTGGGATCACACCTGCAAACAAACCTGAGGTATGTGCCTTTGACCTGGAATCCAACCTGTGACCTATCACTTAATTTAGACTTGAACCTCAGTCTAAAACCGTTCATGTTAGTTTTGAGAATTTTAAAATGCATCATTACTGACTATATATAAATACATTAAATAGTCTAAGTTAAAAATCAATTTCCAACTTAAATACTGGTAAGTAAGGGGCATTTTTGCTTGGTTTAAGATTGAAAACCAGGTTACTATCCAAAGTCAGTCCGCCATATCAGGAAGAGCTAGAAAATAGTTGTGGGGCTTCTGGTAACCTATTCTCATAAGCAGGGAAAGATCAAATGAATCTCTGTACAGTCTGCAACAAAGCACTTTTAACAAACAGTAGAGGGAGAAAAATGGACAGCAGCTAATACCTCCATGGGCTGCAAATACCCAGGTGCAGGGTCAGTAGATTAAAATAGCATTCTCATTGGCCAACTGGGGCCTAGCAAGAGAAGTGTGGGCCAAGCTAATAAGTTTGGCACATTTGGAATTCATTGGAGGCAAATAGAAGGGGAAATTTCCAAAAAAAGAAAGCATACAATGGTTATTTAATGCAATCTTTAAAATACCCTTGCTGGGATGTTTAATTTTGTGACATTTCTCTGAGATCCAGGGATCCATCTTATAAATAGTACTGGGACCCTTCATGTTAACATATTTTTCTCTTATTTTCCATTCCTCTTCTCCTCCCCTGCACTACCTTCTTTTCCAAAAAAAGTATGTACTGTAGACTCACCATCCTTCATATTCAAGTGGTTATTTTTCCACATGCATTTCTCATAAATATAGTCTTTAACATGTTTGTTATGAAAAACTAATTTATAATTTTGAGTATATGACTTACAGAAGAATCCCCTCATTTACTTATTTATTCACTCATTTTCTAGTTAATTCACCCATTCAATTATAGGATGTACACATTTATAGTTGAAAATTCAAGTCAAAATCCAAAATAAATTTTATAGCCTTAAATACAGGCACTTGTGAAATTAATGGCATATATGAGGCTAATCTAACCTTCTTCATCTCTTGGGATTTGAATCTCTATTGCCTTTTTTCCAACCTTTAAGATGTTCTATAACAATAACAGAGAAGCTGTTGCTATAGTTTTCTTTGGAAGGTAAAACGAGAGGCCATGTAAATTTAAAGTTCATTTACACAGCTGTGGTTTTCTATTGTTTCTGTGGACCACTCTAAGACACCATCAAGATGTAAAGTGAGATTGTAAGACTCTCAAACCTTGAAGTTTGAAGGCTTCCTATAGAACACAAAGAAAGGAAATTAAAGGATTAGCTGATATATTGTATTGTACTTTCAGAGTCTGTCAAAATCTTAAAGGTCTGAGACTATTCTCTCACTATACATTTGAGCCAAAAAGCAAATTAATATGTAAAAAATTAATGCATATCCACTTCTGCAATATCAAAGCAAGTTATTTTTCAAATGTATTATTCTAATATAATTCTTTAATACAGTTTTTTCATGTGGCTCTAATATTCGCTTCCTGTTGGAAAAAAAACTCAAATTATTTTTATTATTAATTCTGAAAAAATATCGTAAAGTATTACATGGTTTCATTGAATCAGATTTAGGCATTAAGTATAAATTTTACCACTGAAACCAAAGAACAGAAAACCTGCCAAACTACTTAAACAATTACTTGCCCAACTTAGAATGCCATAGGAATTTAATTGTTGTCACACAAATCAGATTAAAGTAATAGTATCCATAATATTCAATTTAGTTATTTTTAACCTTAGTTGTAATATAAAACCTTAAGCTCTATTTTACGACAGTTGATACCACTGAATAGATTGTGGCATACATCATACTGTTATTAGCTAAAGGAAATACCAATGACATCATTTAGTCATTATAAGAGAGAAACTCACCTATTAAGGAACAATAATAACAATGTTTTATATTTTTACTGACTGACATATCAAATAAGTTGCACGGAACATTTTCTTCTAAAAAATACATTATAGTTAAAATATTTGAACTTCCCATGCCTATCCAAATATGTGTAATGTTAAAAAAGTTTAATAATTCCTATGACTTCTAAGCCGCATTTTCTATCCTGATGTGTTTTAATAAATAAGAACAGACAAAATATGCAAATTTAAAGTTATACAAATCTGGAAATGACATAATATTCACATAATTTTGTATGAAAGTACACTATCTGACAACACAGATACATTCAAAATAATTTTTAATTATACTTTATTAATTTCAAAGATTGATATATATATATATACACACACACACACATCAATGATGGAGAATCATTGATCGGCTGCCTCGTGCACACCCACTACTAGAGGTTGATCCCACAAACTGGGCATGTGCCCTGACTGGGAATCGAACTGTGACCTCCTGGTTCATGGGTCGATGCTCAACCACTGAGGCAAACCAGCCGGGCTATTCAAAATTAATTTTAAACACAGTAAAATAATTTCTGTATGTTCTCCAGAGAAAGACATTTTAATAAAATGTGTTATCTATCATCCTTAATTGCATGTGTGTGTGTATGTGTGTGTGTGTATCATGTAATCCCTATAAGAATTAGGTCATTTCACCTGCCAAATTTAGCCACTCAGGTTAGTCTTATACTCAGGGTAAAAATACGCTAGAAACTATAGCAAAGTAGATGGAGGGTGTGTTATGTAGCATTTTGGTCTCAACTTGAATTCAAAGCTTAGCTTTCCAACATGTTAGCTGTGTGCCCATACAAAATATATTTTCCTCAGTTTCCTCATCTCTACAACAAATAACAAATACAATGTTCTCATAGAGGGGATGTGAACATTAACAAGGAAATATATATGCAAATACAGGTGTCCAGGGCCTTCTCAATATATGTTAATATTTTCATTATGAATGATTTTTCCGTTTCAGTAAATTAATATATAAGCAGACTAAGGTTTGTTTATTCATAGTAATATATTTTACTTCTTTTCAAATACATTTGCTGAACAAAATAAAATATAATGTAATCCTAAATCACATCTGGCAAAGTGTATTTGTGGTAGGCTTAGCATTATAGTAACAACCAGATATTGAATTATACAGATCAAAATCCATTCTTTTTCTGCTGTGGCAGACCACTCCACTGTGTAACGTTAAATACTTATAAAACAGTGGTTCTCGACCTGTGGGTCACGACCCCTTTGGGGGTCGAACAACCCTTTCACAGGGGTCACCTAAGACCATCGGAAAACACATATTTTTGATGGTCTTAGGAACTGAGACACCGCTCCTCTATCCGTCTCCAGGCAGGCCCCCCCACATGCAGATACGCCCACATACGAGTACCCGGCGTGATGACGTCATCGGGCCAACCCCATCACATACACCCCGTACAAATACAGGTGTATGTGACAGGGTTGGCGCCATAATGTACTTATACGGACCAGTCACACATGTGTAGAGAGCAGCTATGTGTAGAAAGCAGCTGTATTGGAGGTAAAACGACACTTCATGAATTATAATTACTGGGTAAATGTAAAATCATGTACTGTAAAATCATCAACTACTATAAAAAAAAATCTGTACCATGGGAACTTAATCTGGATGCTGATCGGTCTTTTTATATTCAGCTGTGGTTGATGTGAATACTGCCCCCTTGTGATAGTAACAGGTATGTAAAAAAAAAAACACAGAATGGTAAATCATAGGAAACTTTAATGAACTGTACTGACTGAACTATGCCATGTATCATCTTTTGTATTATTAAGGCTATTGTTATATATTATTTTCATTAGCAAACCATCCCATGACAATGGACCATGTAGAGAAGAATGTCAAGAAAAGAAAATATAGTGAGGATTTTTTACATTATGGTTTTACCTCAATAATTACAACAGGAATTGAGAAACTGCAATGTGTTATTTGTTGTGTAATTCTATCAGCCGAATCTATGAAGCCAAACAAACTAAAACACCATTTTGATAGCAAGCATCCGAGCTTTGCCGGCAAGGATACCAACTATTTTAGAAGTAAAGCTGATGGACTCAAGAAAGCCAGACTTGACACTGGTGACAAGTACCACAAGCAAAACATAGCAGCCATTGAAGCTTCATATTTGGTGGCACTCAGAATCGCCAGAGCTATGAAACCTCACACCATTGCTGAGGATTTACTGTTGCCAGCAGCCAAGGACACTGTTCGAGTTATGATCGGAGACGAATTTGTTACAAAATTGAGTGCAATTTCCTTATCTAATGACACTGTCCACAGAAGAATGGATGACATGTCTGCTGATATTCTTGATCAGGTAATCCAGGAAATTAAATCTGCTCCACTTCCAATATTTAGTATCCAGCTTGATGAATCTACAGACATTGCAAACTGTTCACAGTTACTGGTTTACATGAGGTATATTAGTGATGACGACTTTAAAGATGAGTTTCTTTTTTGCAAACCTCTTGAAACGACAATTACTGCACGTGATGTATTTGACGCAGTTGGTTCATTTCTGAAAGAGCATTGGGAAAAGGTTTGTGGTGCTCCAGCTATGCTAGGATGTCGATCTGGATTTCAACGTTTGGTACTGAATGAGTCACCAAAAGTCATCGGAACTCACTGTATGATTCATCGGCAAATATTAGCAACGAAGACACTGCTACAAAAGTTACAAGAAGTAATGAAAAGCGTCATAAGTTGTGTCAAGTTTGTAAAGGTGAGCACTTTAAACAGTCAACTCTTTTCGCAACTGTGCAGCGAGTTGGATGCGCCAAACAATGCTCTGCTATTTCACACTGAAGCGAGATGGTTATCAAGAGGAAAACTTTTAAAACTCTTTTGAGCTTCATGATGAACTCAAAACGTTTTTTAATCAAAAAGCAAGACCGCAGTTCAAAGCACTGTTCGGCGATAAAAGTGAACTGCAGAAAATAGCTTACTTGGTTGACATCTTTGCCATCTTGAATGAGTTAAATTCAAGTTAAATTTATCACTGCAAGGAATGCCTC